AACGGACTTTAGAATAATATTTAAGTAAAAAATATTTTCCTTTGGCCATAATAAGAAGCAGATATAAAGAACTGTGTATTCTAGTGTGAGTAATTTATAGTTGTGTGTTTTCTGTACATCTGTACATGTTAGCAGCATGAGGGTATGGGACACAGTGACTTAGTAATGTGACAATAACGTGTTGCACATTCTGACATTTTTAAAGATATTATTGCTTATGAACGTTAGACACACTTAAAATGACCTCATGATCTTGGTGAGAGTTTGAATGTGAAAATGTCCATACTGTAACTGTGTCCAGAAACGGAGATGATGAACATTGTTATGACGACTTTCACTTTGGAAAGTAAATTTGTGCAGATAATACGTTATTTTTCTCTTTGAAGAAGTGGCCTCATGAATAGGAATCTGGAGACCTGGAGCATGCTGACCCAGTGCTTTTGCTGCTGACAGAGATGGAACACAGTTGAGGCAGATTGCGGTAAGTGCACAGAGGTATATTCTGGACTTGAGTGATGCCGATGGCAGGTTTTCGTGTGCGGCCAACCTTGACATAGGGTCAGTTCTGCACCAATTTAGAATGTGCACTGATTTTGTTTTTAGATGACTACACTTAAGCCCCAATCAACCCATTGTACGTAATTGGAAATATTACTCAACCTTTAGTATTCACTTTCCACAAAAGGCTCAGATGATACTTTTATAGCCACTAATCCACACCATTTTAGGCGAGAATAAAAGGAGCATTGCTATTCAAAAAATTGCTGTTGCCATAGAAACAGAGTATTATGCAACGGTTCAAAAAATTAAAGAGGTACACAATTGATTGATCCAAATGGGAATTCAATTTACAAAAGCATTGTTATATTAATCCGATCACTACATGAAAGTCATTATGAGCGTTTGTGCAAGTCCCAATCCTGTAAACTCCTAATGACATACAACACTGGAAATTACTGCGGACTTGGAGGCAGATGGATTGTTCCAGTGACAGTTAAGATGGATTCAGTTTAGTCAATGAAATAATAAATTCCCTGACTGATCAATTCTAAACTTGATTGAGTACCTAATGCAAACTGAAAATATGGTAGTGTACAGCTTCCAGTTTGGAAACAATCATAATCATTATATCTATTTAATAAGTAAGTAACCTTTATTCATATAGCGTATTTCCACAGACACAGAGTCAAAGCACATTACACATGTTTTCCAGTTAACAACACTCGATAAACCGACAAAGACACGTGAAGAACATGGAAACACAGAAAGCCCAGTTTGGCCCAGGAATCGATCAAGGAATAAATGGTTGCAAATAAAGTTGGTTGCTTCAAGGTGGAAGTTGTTGAGATTTCCTGTTTGGAACTGTCCACAGCACGAGTGGAGAGTCCTATTAACATGTTGAAAAGTTCTATAAACCAACTTACCCCAACTACTTTATTTTTTATTTTTGAGATTTTGCAGAATCTCATTTTATTGTTCTTGATTGGGATCTGGACTTGTGGTTGTTATAAATACATTACATCATTTGCAGTCATGAGAATAACTATTTCATTACTTTTATGATTAAATTATGGCATTTAATATCTTGCCTTTTCTATGAAAGCAGTCCCAGCTGTCTGTGGTGTTTTGCTGAAGAAGTCCTCGCCAAGGCACTCATTCAGCCAGTAATCTATTCTGCTTAAGGCCACAGGGACGGCCGAGCCCTGCCAGCTGTTGTGACCGACTTTACTTGTCTGTTTTGGACCCACTCCCCACACTGATTGCATCCAACACAAAACATTTGTATTACACAACATTGTTGTCCTTTGCTGTTGACAGAGCAAGTGTCTAAAATCATGGAAATTCATCAGCTCTCAATAATGTGACCTCAAAGCTTTGGCTCAAAGTTTACTTTTACCATTGTTGCTGACCTAGGATCATATTATCCTCGCCCAGCAAATTCACCACATCAAAGACCTTGAATACCCTATTTTCTTTGTCTCTAATGGTCGAATGTGCAAATCTATACTCTATGGATGTTATAATGCTTCATTACTAATTCATGTCAATAAATAAATAATGTGTTTCTATATTGCAAGTGTAGTTGGGAACATTAAAGTATGTTTCTGCTGTCGAGAGTTTTTTCATTCCCAATTATGTAAATTCTATAACACCAATCGCCTCGCACTCGCCGTTTGCTCTGGGGCAGAGGAGTCTATATTTGTGTGTGTCGTCTGCGAGACAGTAAATAATGTAGACAGGTCGTCTATGCCCTGATACTAGCACAGACCACCACAGTCACCCAGGGTCCTCTGCATTTAGATCACAATTACACCTGTAGGCTATTGAAGTAATACCCTCCTTTATACAATACGACCACTTTGATCTTGGTTATAAGATTAGACTACTACTGTCTGATAAGAATATAATCAGAGAAGTGTCTTAGAATCCAGCCACTAGAGGTCAGAAGGTAAACTACGGTACTTGTTCTCCAGGTTTAATGTCTGTAATGTCTGTAGCATATATATATATATATATATATATATATATATATATATATATATATATATATATATATATATATATATATATATATATATATATATAGCTCCTTACCATGCATGGCGGGTTCCATCCCAAATCCAGCACCCTGAGACTGTACGTAAGCCGTAAAGAAGGAGGCCGAGGACTAGTGAGTGTGAGAGCCACTGTCCAGGACGAAACATCCAAACTCCATAACTACATCATGGAGAAGGCCAAAACGGATGACGTACTCAGTGAATGTCTCAGGCAGTGGCGAGATGAGGAGGTGCTGGAGGAGAGCCCATCATGGGAGAACAAGCCCCTACACGGCATGTACCACCGGAGCATAACAGAAGTGGCTGATCTCAAGAAGTCCTACCAATGGCTAGAAAGGGCTGGCCTACAGGACAGCACAGAGGCACTCATCATGGCTGCACAGGAGCAGGCCCTGAGCACCAGAGCGATAGAGGCCCAGATATACCACACCAGACAAGACCCAAGGTGTCGGTTGTGCAAAGAGGCACCTGAGACGATCCAACACATAACTGCAGGGTGCAAGATGCTGGCAGGGAAGGCCTACATGGAACGCCATAACCAAGTGGCTGGCATAGTGTACAGACACATCTGTGGAGAGTATGGGCTGGAAACCCCAAGGTCTAAGTGGGAAACTCCTCCAAAGGTGGTGGAAAATGAGCGTGCGAAGATCCTGTGGGACTTCCAGATACAGACCGACCGAATGGTAATGGCAAACCAACCTGACATCGTGGTGGTAGACAAAGGGCAGAGGACAGCCGTGGTGGTGGACGTGGCAATTCCAAGCGATGGTAACATCCGGAAAAAAGAACATGAAAAGCTTGAGAAATACCAAGGTCTCAGAGAGGAGCTGGAGAGGGCCTGGAGGGTAAAGGTGACAGTAGTGCCCGTGGTGATCGGTGCACTCGGGGCAGTGACCCCGAAGCTAGATGAGTGGTTACAGCGGATCCCCGGAACAACCTCGGACATCTCGGTCCAGAAATGTGCAGTGCTAGGAACAGCAAAGATACTGCGCAGAACCCTCAAGCTCCCTGGCCTCTGGTAGAGGACCCGAGCTTAGAGAGGGATAACCGCCCGCGGAGGGCCAAAGGTGAGTGGACAATTTTTATATATATATATATATAAGAAAGCGGATGATGGGACGACAACAATCTACATAACTGGCATTATACAATAATTATAAGATAAGATAAGATAAGTAGACAATATTTTGCATATGCAGACATACCAATCCTGACCCGCAAACCCACCCTCTCCCAGACCCTCACATAATGGGGTCCTCCACAGGCTGCACATGTGAAGCACACTGATCTGACCTGACAGTGTGGGCTCTGCTGACAGTGATCCGCGCAGAGGGAAGCTTGTGATTGTCACTGTGGTGCTTTTCCTTTTGTGCCAAACTCGCGCCATAGTGCGCCATAGCAGTGCCTGCCGTATGCCTGTGTTATTGCTGTATATGATGTATGGCTGCGACGCGGAATAGCCACCAGGCAAACGAAGAGAACCGACACGCCCTTTTTCAAAGACACGCTCGAGTTGGTTGTTGGGTGTTGTGTCGCTTCTCTACTCTGTTGACATGATTCATGATTACAAAAAATATGTTAAAATGTTTGGTATTTTATCCCCAAAGATTATTCTCAATAAGACCTTATTAGTATTCAAGCCATGTGTCGCCTCCAAAGCAAAGTGTTGCGCAATTACGCGACACAGGCACGCACACCAGGGCAAAGACTGAGAAAGAAAAGCTACGAAACGGAATGTGAAAAGAAAATAGAAAATAAACAAGATGGGCGTGTGAAAAGGGAAGGGGGAGCAGAGGAGAGGAGAGGAGAAGAGAGGAGGAGGGGAGCTGAGCCACAGACCAGAGAAGGGTCTGGAGCTGGAGCGCACACCAGGGTGGGATACAGTGATAAGCCGGAGACATTGGATGACAAAACATCCTTTTTGCCATTTCACATTAAAACACTCGATAACACAAATACAGTTGTTAAGTTAAACACAGATTAATTAATACAACAATATACTGCATGATATGCATTTTCTCTGTGAAAGGAAACACATTGTTAGAGGGACAATTATTTGCACAGGATTTTACACAGTCATGGATCAAACAAGATAACTGATATCTGGCAAGACAAAATGTTTCAAATAAGACCAATGTTTTCAATAATGCCAGGCTGACGATGAAAAAAATAAACATACAACAAACAATTGAATGATTTGAACATCTCTTGTGAATATATGTCTGTGGTGAAACATAAGACGAATCACAACATTTTACTCTGTTAGGTGTGGGCTTGGTTTCCGGTCGCGCTGCGCCCTAAATCAGAATCTTGACGCTTCTTACAGCTCCATCGCAGGGAAACACACCCGTCAGCAGCGAGCAGAGGAGACAAAAAAGAGCGCATCACGGACAAAGGGAATATGGATGCGCTGGAAAGGATTCACCTGGGCTTGGCAACGCAATGGATGAGCCGCTCGCGTTCGGTGCAGCGGGACACCAATTAGCCCACCTTAATGAGGTGTTGGGACGCAAGGTACTGCAAGCTAAAGAGGAGGAAGGAAGGCAGCGTTTAACCCATTTGTGGAACGTAAGAGCTTGCGATGGCTTTGGCGGGCATATGCAACCGAACAGGAGTTAATGTGCCTTTTTATTTTCTTCTGTTGCTTTTATGTTGTGGCCTTTCGTTTGGACAATTGAGATATTCCATAAATGAGGAGCAAGAAAATGGGGCACTGGTCGGTGATCTGGCGCATGACTTGGGGCTGGATACTCGAAAGCTGCCTGGCAGAAAGATGAAGGTAACCTCCAGCAGTGCGAGGCGTTATGTGATTGTCAACTCTAAAAACGGCAAACTCCTCGTCAATGAGAGGATTGACAGGGAGTCGCTGTGTGACACTATGAACACATGCCTGATAAATCTGGAAGTGATGCTTGAAAACCCCACAGAGGTACATCATATTGAGGTAGAGGTATTGGATGCCAACGACAATGCGCCACAGTTCCCCAAGGATGAATACCAATTAGAAGTCATAGAGTCTGCATCTCCTGGTTCGAGATACCAAATTGAACATGCTCAAGATCCAGACACCGGCTCCAACGCAGTCCGTATGTATCAGCTTAGCACAAACGACCATTTTGCGCTTGTATCCAACAAACCCTCCCTGAACACAAAGCACATTGAGCTTGTGCTCAAAAAGCCTCTTGATCGTGAACAGACGCCTTATCACCAATTCATTTTAAGTGCTGTGGATGGTGGCACACCAGAGAAGACTGGCACTGCCAAAATCAATGTGCGAGTGCTGGACTCGAATGATAATCCTCCTAAGTTTGACCACTCTGTGTACAAAGTGAAGCTGTTGGAAAACTCTCCTAAAGACACACTGGTAATCAAACTGAATGCAACAGATCTGGATGAGGGCACAAACTCTGAAGTGTATTACTCATTCAGCAGTTATACCCCAGAGAGAGTCCGACAGATGTTCAGCATGGACACTCACACAGGAGAGATACGAGTGAGAAGTAATGTGGACTATGAAGAGACCACTTCTTATGAGATGTACATCCAAGCCATGGATAAAGGCCCTGGGGCAGTGGCCGCCCACTGTAAGGTGGTGGTGGAGGTGGTAGACGTGAATGACAATGTTCCTCAGATAGTGTTGTCCTCTCTTTCCAGTCCTGTAAGGGAAGATGCCCGTGCTGACACTGTTGTGGCTCTTATAAGTGTTACAGACCGAGACTCTGGCGCTAACAAACAAGTGAGCCTCGAAATCCCAGCAGGCCTTCCTTTTAAGATTAAGTCATTCAGAAATTACTACACTCTGGTTACCTCAGCCTTCCTGGACCGTGAGACCAAGGATGCCTACAATGTCACTCTGAGTGCCACAGATGGAGGAAATCCTCCTCTCTCCTCTCAGAAAACCATACAGGTGGATGTGGCAGATGTGAATGACAACCCACCCAGATTTGAGCAGACTTCTTATACTGTCTATGTGACCGAGAATAATCTCGCTGGAGCCTCCCTGTGTACTGTTAAAGCTCTAGACGCAGACATTAAGGAGAATGCTCGTATCACTTACACAGTGCTCAATGACAACAATCATGGCATCCCTGTCACCTCTTATGTGTCTGTCAAGGCCGAAACAGGCGAGGCTTACGCCCTGCGAGGCTTTGATTATGAATCACTGCGAGAGTTTCATTTCCAGGTCAAAGCCCAAGATGGGGGCATTCCTCCACTCAGCCGCATCGCCACCGTCTACATCTACATCATGGATCAGAATGACCACGCACCACTGATAGTTTCACCTGCGGGGAATGGGACACGCTCCCAAGAGACAGTGCAGAAGAATGCAGATCCTGGTGCCTTGGTGACCAAAGTGGTGGCTTACGATGCAGACGCAGGCCCGAATGCCTGGCTGGTGTACATGCTCCAGACAGCCACAGACATGGACCTGTTCAAAGTGCATGAGCACACAGGGGAGATCCGGACCTCCAGACGCATCCTGGAAGACAACTCCACCTCATTTGCTCTGACTGTTATTGTTAAAGACCATGGACAGCCTCCTCTCACCTCCACCGCCACCATCAATGTGGCAGTCATGGAAGTGCCCCCTAAAGTAGCCCCTGACCCCAAAAGGATCATCCGCCCTCACAGCCCGCTGCTCTTCTCCAATGTAACCCTCTATCTGATTGTGGCTCTAAGTGCTACCACCTTTGTTTTCCTAGTGACTGTTGTGGTTCTGGCCATAGTCCGCTGTCACGCCTATTGCTCTCAGCCTGGGTCCTGCTCTTCGTGCTGCGGCTCACAAAAGCCCCCTCCAGATGGGGGGAGCAGCAGTGTGAGTGCAGGTGCGGCTGGTGCAAGTGGTGGACAACCCAACAACAATGTGGTGTTGAGAAGAGACCTAAAAGTGGAGCCACACTACATTGAAGTGCGAGGAAATGGCTCGCTAACAAAGACTTACTGCTATAAGACTTGCCTAACTGCCACCTCTGGCAGTGACACTTTTATGTTCTACAACACGGGACGTCCCATTAGCGGCACCTGGGGAAGCGGTGCAGAGCGCTTCTTCACCAGTAACAGTGGATTTGTGCGGAGACTGAGCATGCCTGACGCTTCTCTGCAACTTTGCCCTGAGGTAGGTACAACTTTTCTTTACTTTGTACAAAATCCATGCATTAATCTCTGTGATATTCTACACCCACCCCGATGCAGTGTCTGATTCCGCTCTGCTCATCGCTCAGTCTGCATTAGTGTCACTTCTGATGTGTTTCAAGTTCCCTGTGTTATTTCTGATGATTCAGATATTAGTGTTTTACTTCGAGCTTGTCATCACCCCTCCAAGAGCAGCTGACTACACACTGGCTATTATGACTTGCTCACACACTATGCATTTGACCTGCTGGTGTGGTGTGACTGTGAATAACACTCACTGCAGTTAATTGACTATACTATAGTAGCAAACGCTGAAATATATTCAACTAGTGTGTTGTCCTGTATTGTATAGGGCTGCGCACCACTACATATCACAATTTACACTATTAGAACTGAATATGGCAGATCTGTATGTACAACAATGTCTACATAAGTACAACTTCCTGCTTCAATGTTTGTGATTTAGTGGACACCTAATATGTGCATAAGTCTGTGTCTAGATAGTCATTGGCCTTTCTGATAAAGAAACAGAATATTAGCAGGTCAGCATTCATCATTTATCCGGACTCTGGAGCCAGTTGCTGGTACATTAGTTATACACAGAGACAATTTGAAGCTTGGGGAATTAGATTAACCCCCTGCTCCTGTTCCTCATCCCCACAAATGAGATTTACACAAAGAGGCTGTCTTTTGTGGAAGAAAATACTCCCCTTTGAATTGAAGATTGGAAAACATAATGTGCCATTATGGAACACCTGCTTCAGTCTGGTTTTAACATTGTATCCCTAATGTTATCTTACTTAAGTCTGATTCCCACTTGTTTTTTTTTTTCCTTCAGCTCCACAGCATTGCAGAAAAGGGTGGCACTGACCACTGACCATAGGTTTTGTTATTATGGAAAGTGTAATATTTAAAATTACAATAATAAACTGGTTTGTTTTCATTTGACCATCACTAATACAGTCAATGGATATATTAAAGGGTTCTGAGTAAATACAAATTCTTTTGCTGCATGTTGTTTTAAAATTCCAACTAGATGATGTAGGGTTTCTGGTCTGCAGTTTTGTTAACACAATTCTATGATTGAGTCATTGTAGATTCAAAGCTCTGCAACCCATCTTATAATCGTCAAAAGCATTATTTGTTGATGTTTTACCATTTTCAGCAGCCCAAGCTTTTTAACAAGCTTTGTTCAAATTTGATCCACTTAATTATTCAACACAATGAATCAGAGCGTAGTTGACTGTGACTGTAAAGTGACAACAGATAGTCACATTCACAAAGCACTTCTTGTTTCTCAGCATTGAGAGACAAAACCAGTAAATCCTCTCTTATTAGCATCGAGAGCTGCTTTTTCAACATATCTGGTAAAACAAACATGTTTTGCTCAACAGCATGGTTATATTTTATACAAGTCATTTATAATGCAGTTTACAATGAAGAACATGTAAAACAATGAATGAAAGTTGACAACAAACTCAACCTTCTCTTTTTTTAGCTAGAGTAATTTGCATATTCAGGGTTGATGAAGCAAACACCTCCCACTGGTCTAACACAGACGAGACGGATGCGGTTGCCCTGGTAACAGTGGCTCATAGTGGCTGACAGTGTTCTGATGGCCTCTGCATCCTCAATCATCCAAACAACCCATCTAATCCTTCTTACCAATGAAATTATATACATAGTTTTCAATCAATTGCAATGTTACTTGTTCTTTGTAGGGTGAATTATGTACCATTACAATTGTTGACTTTTACAGTCATTATTAGATACATAACTGTCCATAAGCCTTATCAATGCAATCCTATTGGGCCTTTCCCAACATACATCTGTGTGTGTGGAGGGGGGTGCACCGCTGCAGTGCTCCGATCACATTCAGAGCCTGGATGTGTTTCATGATTAATTGATGAGACCATGGCCTAGCCTGCCACTGCACTGTATGAAATCAAACTAACCTCTCTCCTCCTTCTTCATCTCCATCTCCCCTCTGCTGTTGCTGTCTCTCCACCATGGGCATGTTCAGCCAAAAGCCCCCAATGCTGACTGGCGATATTCTGCATCTTTGAGAGCAGGGATGCAGACAAGGTAAGCATACACATGACATGTTTTATTATACATATTAATAGTCATATCTAATTAACTTGTGCTTTCAACAAGAGACTTTTAGACTCATTTTCACAAAGCAGAACGCTGGTTTGCCTCTTCCTTACACACTGAGCAACCCGGGCCTTGTGACCCACCTAGTCACCATTATCATCATCAAACTTTAAATTACAGACTCATGGTCCAGGATAAGACAAACACAACACTAGTGTGGTAATCTTTTTGTTAATGCGTGTTAAGGTTGAACAGGGCACACATTAATTTACCAATTGAACCAAACTGGGTTGTTGCCTGTTGCTGACATGTGATTTAGGTGAAGTAGGACATCAAACACAAAGATCACTTGTTGTGATCATTCGTGAGGTTGGGGTTAGCTAACGCAGAGGAGCAGGTGGATGTCTTGTGGCTTTTCACACTGCAGCTGAGGCGGCTCTCAGTCAATCACCTCACGGCACTGCCATGTTTGTTTTCCCCACCCAAAAATGGAAGTCAGGTACATTGTTTTGCATGTGGCTCTCAAAAGCACAGCAGATTCCTCACAATAATAAAACAGACATTTTATCCATTATTTACTTCACTAATCCAGTGCTATTATAGGAATAGTTTGCCAAGTTAAGAGTACTGCAGCATCATTTTTGACTGTGTCCAGTCCAGTATTGGCCTGGTCTAGTCCTGGTCCAGACCTGACAAGACAAGTTCTGGTCTTACCATAAGGGTTTGGATTTTTGCACGCCCTGCTCTATTCTTATTTATTAAGTAACTGTAAATGTTTATAGTCTTCCATGTGGTTAATAGACTCAAGTCCCTCATCCACATGCAGTTTGTTTTGAACTTTTTATTTTGACATCTTCCCGTCTTCCAGAGGTGTAAAATGTCTTGGATGAAGTATAAATACTAGAACAGTATAAAATAAACTCCCTTACTTTTATTTCCCTTACTTAACTACATGTGTGTAAGTACAAGCATTTGTATGCAGAAAAGTAAAATACAATTTGTGGGAAAAGGTTTTATTATATTTATTTGGGAGATTTTAAGCATTCCCTTTGAAAAACTTAAACTACTACTTCTATTGTAGTTGAAATGTTTCACACTGGCAATCTACAATGAATGGCAATCCTCAAAATAGAATATATGTATATGTTTGAAATAAAGAAAGTAAATACATGATACAGTTTTAGTATAGTACAATAGTTTGCCTGTATTGTCCTGTTTCTGTGACGCTGCTTTGGGTGTGTCAGACTGATTGATTTGACGGTGAGCTCTGTGCTGTTTTGTGAACAAAGTGTTAAAGCTCATACTGTTGGTGGAGTGAATAATTCTGCCACTGATAATACTAACAACGAATTCCTGTTCCCTTACCTCGACTTATGGAGTACCTTCAACATGAGGAACAGTATGTTAGACCATATAAAGTCACATTTTCATTTTTACAGATTTATATTTCTGGGTTTCTGCCTTGGATCTGTATGTGCTTTTACATTTATTCCAAAAAGATATTTTAAAGATTTTAATGTAAGGATCAAAAGTAAAAAGTTCCTTTAATTATAAGTAGGAAAGTACTGATGCCACAAATACCACAGTACAGTACTTACTGGGACGACATGTCATTTCAACAGGGGTCTGCAGTAATGAAAAGACCTTTACTCTGTTTACTCTGGATACGTCATAGAGAATCTTGAGGTCTACTACATACCCACTGCTGCCGGGTAGCAGGGGAACACCCAGGTCTATCTCCAGGCTGGATTGACTGTTCTCTCGTCATCAATAATTATTCATTCATTATAGGATAAGATAAGAGAACCTTTATTCATTCCACAGGGGGAAATGTTAATGTTGTAGCGCACATACAGGACAATAGTAAGAGCACACAGGGAGCATACAAAATATACAATATAAGTAACTGCTGTTTCTTAGCTAGCTGTAAATGCTTCAATATCAATATATTGATCTATCTATCTCATCTATCTATCTATCTATCTATCTATCTATCTATCTATCTATATATATATATATATATATATATATATATATATATATTATATATATATATATATATATATATATATATATATACTGTATATGGCAGGATAATAAGTAGATAAAATGACATTCAGTGGACTTTCTGAAATTGCAGTATTGCACATTTTAGTATTTACTTATTTATAGATGAATGACATGTACAGGCTCAGCAGTTCTCATTGTACAGTCTGACAGCAGCAGACATGCAGAACCTCTCCTTCTGTGGAACCTCCCCTGTACACTAATCACACTTACAAGCAAACAGACAACCTAAGTGATATGAAAATACTCTGTTCCATACAATAGCCACAACCTCCTTCTATGTGTGTGACCAGGGACACCTCCTATTCGTGCATCGCAGTTCTCCCTCCAATGCAGCAGTGTAACACTATATAGGTCATCTGCATTCAGAGAACTGCTTCCCCCAGCTCCAGTCTCTAAGCAGGAAGCATGAAGGACAAACTATGACCTTTCTCAGATCATCAGATGCACGCATACATGCTCATTCCACACACATCGCAACAGCTACATAAATAAGCACTTTTACATAACAGCTCACCTCATCTTCAACACCTTGACTTGTTCATTGTCATACAAACTGTGTCCTGCTTTGCATGTGCAGTCTGTGTAGGCTTACAGTCTGTCAGAGTGTATATTTCAGTTTGGCGAGTGCTTATAAAGATAATTTATAGTTTTCAACAAATTCAACTGAGAAAAGTAGAAGCAGGACTAAATACTGTATGGTTTTTATTAGAAAATTCCCAGATAAAACAATTAAATAAAATCCTAATTTCTAAAACGTATTACCGGTTTGGCCACAAATGCATCAACATGAGCAATGTTTTTTTGATGACGGCTGATTCAAAACGGCTGATCGGTCCCAAAACTTCTACAAACAAAACTTGTCTGTAATTGTCATTTTGATATGCTGATGTGTATCCTGAAAGAGCATTATGAAGTTTAATGAAGCTGCTTTGATGTGCGGACATCTGGATCATACAGCCCTAATGAGTTTTTGCTTCCAGTCCAGATCCTTTGCACTGAATTTCCCCAATTTCATGCTAACAATGTGAGCTGCAGCAGAGACTCTGTCGCTCTGTCTGACTTGATCTTAATTAGATATTAGTGTTAATTTTGAGAGTGTGTAGAGGAAGGATCATAATCTGCATCGTGTCATCAAAGCTCTGTGACATGACATGGATTAACAGAAGGCATCAACACAGTGTACGTCTGTCATTAAATTGTAACAAGCAAAGATAGAAAGGAAGCTGCCAACCCTCAGAATGAATGGTTCTCAACATGTATTAACACACAGCCAGTAGGTATGCAGTTCGTCTGCAATAGGACCTGAATGAACATGTTCACGATCTACACTGGTTCCTCACATTCATTTACTCATTCCTATTTTTATTTTTTACACTTTTAAAATCACCTATACTATACTTACAAGAACGCTCAGATGAATAGGAAAAATGAGGTAGTGGAGCATTGCATATGCCCCAGTAGGGGAATGTAAAACTACATGTAGAAGCTCCAATGTTCCAAGCTTTGTGTCAAATATTTGCATTAAATAATAACTACATTACTAATAAATATTTACTTAAATGTTTGACTTTGTAGAAAGTAATCCGTATAATTTTGAAGAATTACCTCTCTCAATATTGTGACATTGTGCTATAGAGATCAGTTTGGTCAAAGTAGCTGACCTGAAACAGGTGAATACATAATTACGTCTATTTACATCATGTTAAACTGGCAGTAAACTACAGTATACATTCAAGAAAATAACACAGCTTCCTATGTCTGGGTTTTATTTGAAACATTAATCGGAAATTATGCCAACAAAATACATATGTATATTTATGGAGTGCTTCAGTCCTGCACCGGACCTGTCCACGTTCAGCGGCCACTGGTCCACGTTCTGTAGCTAGCTTAGGTCCTAGATCATTAGCCTGTCCGTCCGGAGGAGCGGATCCCTTTCTCATATGGGTCTCCCTCCCTGTGGGTTTCCCTAGTTCTCCTCCAAGGTTTCTCACTTTTTCCCACTGGGTTTTTTAAGAGTTTTTCCTTGTCGATGCAGGAGGGTCTTGTTGGACAGTTAGTGTCCAACAGAGAGGATTGGTGATGATCAGGACACTTTAGCATTCTACAACATGTATGGACATTTTCTTCTGTGTGTGCTTTATATTCTCCATGTGTTTTAACTGTTGATTCTCTGATCTCTGTTGGTGATTTCAATGGTTTTGTTAAGTCCTCTGAGATGACTTCTGTTGTGACTTATTGCTATACAAGAATAAATTGTATTATATTGTATTGTATATTTATATCTATAATTATTAAGTTTGTTAAATACACACTTTAGAAACCAGACAGTGGCAACATTTGTGAATAACTATTACTTGCAGACAAACTATAACACTCATAAAACTCTAATTTTAAAGCTACAAATACTGAAGGATTCATCTCCAAGTGTCTCCTTCACTGTTCTTTGTAGTAAAAGTAATTATCCTAAAGTTGGTGTATTGATGCTTTTGTCTGATGTTCTTACTTCCAGCTCAGTCCACATGGAGGAGTCCGGAGCAGTGATGCAGGGAGCCCAGGGGATGCTGGTCCAGAACTGGCCCACTGTCTCCAGCGCTGCAGGTTAGTGCAAGACTCCAAGTGCAAGCCTAGTGGAAGAAACATTCCTAGGGACATGGCAAAGAGGACACCATGTATACTTGTCTTTTTAAAAGCACGCTCATTTTAAGATAAGATAAAAAAAAAAGCTGAACTGTATTGATTTCACAAAGGAGAAATGTACATGTTACATAGATAGAATCACATTTTAAATATTTATACAGTGGAAGTACAATTAAGTGAATGTAATTTGAATACTTTGTAGCTACACAAAACAAAAAAGGAGCATCCAACAAATCATTAGCTTAGCGTGAATCTGTATTGAGGTCAGAAGAACAGTAGCAAGAATAAAGTCAGACTACAAAAGTAATCTTGGTTTGACATTTCTTTAATAATTAGAAAACATGTTTTGGTCACAATTGTGTGAGATTCAAAAAATATAATTTTATTTAGTAGACTGAAAAACAATTTTGTGTTGGTAAGTAAGTAAGTAAAGTTTATTTATATAGCGCATTTCACAGACCAGGATCACAAGGCGCTTCACAGATTAAAATACAGAAAATACACATACAAGTCAGAAATTAAAACAACAACACAGAAAAACAGTTCACAGAGGCCTATGAACAGTGGGGCGAGAAGGCCAATATAAATATGTGGTAGGTACATATTGATATTGAAATCATCACGTTATATTGTGAAATCCCACTATAGTATGTACATTTCTCCTGTGTGAGATTAATAAAGTATATCTTATCTTATAGCACATATAATTATATGATGTATTGCCACTATTCTGTCTTTCATAGAAATATTCTACGCAGCTACAGTACATCCTTGGAGGTTGTAGCTGCGTCATTTCAGACAGAGTTCATTGGGTTCAAGCTTGAGATAGTTGCATAATAACCAGAAGATGAAGATAATATTATAAACAAATACACTGTTTAACCAGTCATTTGTCATTTATTGTGCTGTGTAGACAAATGCAAAGTCTAATTTAGCGCAATGCACAGATGGTTAAGAGTTTGATTCATTGCATGATTTTCAAGTTGTGATTAATGTGAGCTCTAAGACTAATACAAATAAAAGGGTGCAAAATGAAAGATGGAACTGCATCAGGGCGATGAGTCTTATGCATATGCTGCATTATGGTGCATATAATTTATTCCAAGCAGCACCCCTATATTGGCTAACGTCTGGTAAATGTAAGTAAGGTTTCAAGGTGAATTCCTTAGTGGGTTTTGTTGCCTTACTTCTGTTCATTGATTTTCTGTCGAGCATCAAAACTTTTAACACAGGTACAGGCTGAAGGATGAAGTGAGGCGTCTAAGCCAATCACTCAGCCGCAATGTGAAGAGATATGTCTGTCTGTCAGGGATGCAAACACACATGAAGGCATTCTTCTCATGGGATGCCATGTACTGAGAAATAGTTTGATATACAAGTTTTGCCACTTACAGTATATTTTAGATAAGAAACATTATGTGTTGTCAGAGTAAGCCTGAACAGGGCCATTCCTACTTTATTTCTAAGGGATGATGTGGAATGGATTGGGTATGTCAGGGTTGTTATAGTCTGGCATCATGTCCTGCATTTTAACTTTCATATCCGTCAAAATGGTGTTTATGTAAGTGACCCATGGTGCGGATGCACAGTCTTGTCTAATGCCAGAGGGCCTGAGAGGCTATTATCAGCACTAAAAGAGCACCGGGGAAAAGCTCTAAACATTAAAGCGATTTGGGAGAGAAAGAGAGGAAGAGACGCACCAGGGATAGAGGGAACAGCGTGGAGGTGTTGGGGGGATGGAGGGAGAGAAAGGTTAAGAGGATTGGCAGGTTCCTGCAGTACTGTTGTTGCTAGGGAACGCCATGTGACTTGTTACCTAGCAACACAGTCTCACTGAGACTGCAGCAGTAGCAGCCGCACCCTCCTCAGCATCCTCCATCAACACCCTCCACAGCCCCCCTCACATCACCCCCTCATCTCTACAGCACATCACATCACCCAGAGCAGTGCTCTTCCACTGTAACTCCCGAACAACACCTGCTTCAGTCACACACATCTGCTCCTCCTTAGCACCCACCCTCAACGAGCCCCAACCCTCTGTGAGCACCCACCTTCTATGAGCCCCCACCCTCTATGAGCCCCAGAGAGGACACTCAGTCAGCCGCCTGCTGTACATCACCTCCTTCGTGAACAGTATGTCTGCCTGGCTGTTCATACACACACTTGGTCGGTCTGTAATATTTTTCCACAGCTCCCTCCAACAGCACCCACCTTCACAGCCCCTCGTCAGCTAGGAGTGGACAAGCCAGTTTCCATGGAAACATATAGTATCTCTGAATGGGGCGCTTTAGAGATGGAACCAGAGAGGGAAGGGGACTTGACAAGGGTAGGTGCCAGATAAAATGGAGGTCAGATAGTAATTTAGGCGGCATTCACATCCAAATGAGCACAAATGAAGACTCATTCACAATAGCACGTACTGCACTGCCGAGGTTTTACACATGCCCTGTGGATTTGTGTGTGATCTACAAGCCTCGAGTTACACTTTTAAATAGATGAGTATTTTGGACTCTATGCATAAAAATATATATCCGACTTAAAATGTGGGGCGTCAGGTTAACGGAAACAAGGATTTAGACACCCACCTCTCTGCAGGTGGCATGGCAACCTACTCGTATAAGAAGCTCGAGTGACCTGCTTAGCTGCAGTTCTGCTATAATCCATTTCAGCTGGCTGTTTGCTGAGAAATATAGGCTAATATGAATTTGTGGCAGAGGTACATATAATCCTCCATATTAGAGCCATCGCTGCAGCACATTCCAGCTCTAAAACATGACCTCCTTGTAATGGTTGTTATTTGAACATGAATATGATTAACACCTGAGAAGCTATCATAATTAACATGAACATGGATTTCAATTGGCCACAGTCTGGAGGAAGCAACTAGACGTCAAAAGATACACTGACCATAATTTCAATTACTTGGACATCAAACAGCTTCTTGACATTTGGGCTTGGTTGATCAGCGTGAGGATGACTCAATCAATTGCATTCACTGGATCACCACAACACAGTAATTCATCGGGACAGACCATAAAATTACCTCGTGTGAATAAAATAATAAACACAACAAGCATCTCGTCATGGAATTATCTTGTTTAGATCTTACCAGTTCATATAATCTCATGCACATGCTGCCCAACAGCACTGACATTTGCTTGTACTCCAAGCAATATTTCGTGCCCACTCATGTATACACACACTCTATAAGTATATATATGTATATGTACATATAAATGTATGGCTGCTATTTGAAAATGCCATGTAACAGCATCATGTGTGCAGGTTCATACCCTGGTCATATTATATAAAGACCACACGCAGATAAAGGCATGTTTTAATCCAAGAAAAGCAGCATTAACATTAACACCACTAATGGGAGCATCCGATAATAATACCCTTTAGTCCTTAAATAAGTTTGATCTGCTAGCATGTTCCTGCTATTTGCAGGAACTAGCTTATTTCAAAAGATTAGGTCGCAGATTAAACTGTAATACTGTAACCGTGGTTCTTTCCCTAAATGAAAGGATGATTGAGATTATTAATTTCCATATTGATATTATTATTATCCTTTTGAAACAAAGAGATGGATAGTTTATTGACATTATATACAGTATATGTGCAAAATGAAATCAAAATCATGTAAATGCCAAATAGACAGGCAAAGCCAATAAAACAAAATAACAACTACTGTACTACAATCTTATCAATTATATCCAAAACTCAAGTACCCTAAATAAATGCTTAGTTTCAGATAACTTCAGCTCCAGTATTTTTGTATTCATCCTGTTTAATTTGAATGGGACAGAGAATGAACAGCAGTTGTTGTATTCTCCTTCAGATGAGTCTCATTTAAATCATTGTTATGCAAAATCAATATTACTTTTCAACAACTTAAATAGTTTGCGCGAATAATACACCAGAAAATTAATTTGCCGAAGATGGATTAAGCTTTCTCCTGTATTGTAGAAGTACATGTAATAGATCATTTTTAGCGCTGGCAGTCCTGGTGTCATGTGCCTGCATAGACGCATGTTTAATGAAGTACAAATGAAAGTTGCTATTTTTAGACCAGCAACAAATGATTTATACCTGTATTTATATTTTAGTATCCCATGTTTCCAAAGAAATGTGATCATAACTGTTTACTATGGCAAAATATCAACAACTCATTGTAGGAGTGCTTAGCAGAACAGAACAGAACCCATTGGATAGCACATATTTTAATGTTTTATTAAGGCTTTGGACATGGACTATATTTTAAAATAGTACGCTTCCCACTGGGACCAGGCTACAGCTCTGTCATAAATAGCCTACAAAGACGAATCAAAGGCCCATGTTTGATCTAAATAAAATCTGTAGTAAAAGTAGGTCAGCGCAGAGGGAACTGGTGTGTCTGTGAAAACCCGCCCACCCCCACCTCCCTCATCACCATTTCTCTCTCCACCACATCCAGCATCAAACCTGCTGTTTTGACTGCGTTCACCTTTTGACCTTAATAACATGAATTTTCTTTACGTAATCGTCTGTCTATGAATAGCTCCTGGCCGACATTGGCTATTGTCATCTGTAGTCTTTTGTAGTCTTCAGTGTCAAAAGTTGTCACAAAGTTTCATGGGATATTTGAATACAGTGGCAGTCAGACAGAAATAATGTGCGTGATAACATTGAAAGCTCCAATGGGATTTGAAGGTTACTCTCCCCTGGTGTTCTGTGGGGAATTGTGGTCCCAGGCGAATTGTTGTCCTCAAATATAGAAGATATAGAAGATGTGACTAAATCAGATTTGTACTCCTGGGAAGAAAACATGAATAAAATAGTATGTCACATGTGTGCAAATGTTAAATATTGATTAAAACATGAATAGATAACAAGATGATGATGATGATTATTAGGAAGCAGTTTGGGAATGGTTCAGCTCAGAAGCACAGCGTGCTGCTAAATAAAAAGGAGGGAAAAAAGGGCAATGAGCTAGAAGAGCAGAGCAGGTGTGTGGGGCAGGGAGGCATTTAGGACTGAATGGGTTAGTAGGAACTGCACAGACTCCAAGGTGTCTGTGCAGCACACCTGACACAGGTTACATATGTCATTTAGGTGGAACATAAATCATTTTTAATGGACACTAGCTTGCCCTGGGGTCTTTCCAAAAGAAAGGTTTATTTCTTACACATATCAGTGAGACCAGACATGTCAAACTCAGGTCCATTTTAGAGGCCCTTCATTATTAACTTGCACCATTGATTCCACTTGGGTCCCATGGGACGTTAAACCTCATTTAAGGCTATCTGTCTTAAATAACATCTCTTCTTTATATTTGGTCTTGTTTTAGCTCAATCTTTGTAAAATAATTTTGTTCAAAAAACTCCACAAGAAAACCATATCCAAACTCAGTCAAATGAAAGAACTTTGACAAAATATACATGCTTTATGTAAAACAAATTTATAATAAAAGAAAACCACTTTTATACTTATCGTTTAAATTCGGCCCTCGCCCCAAATTGAGTCTGACACCCCTGAGTTAGGCCATGATGTATTAGTGCAATACAATATTACTGGAATCAGGAATATACCACAACATTTAATCTTTCAATTTTCTTGTATAATACCAATAATACCATAATTTCTACTCTTTTAGCTGATGAATGACTTACTTATGCTTACTGTGCCATCTTCTTTTGTGTCTTTTGTCTTGATAGATGGAGAGGGTGGTGGAGAGCTATCTCCTCCTGTAGGGGCTGGAGTCAACAGCAACAGCTGGCACTTCAGATATGGAGCAACTGGCCAAGGCTACATGCCCGCTCCTCAGCCCCTGAAGCCCGGGGAGATCCCTCCTGAAGCATTCATTATCCCAGGATCGCCAGCCATCATCTCCATTCGCCACGACGCAGGACCTGTAGACGACAAGGGAGACTTCATCAGCTTTGGCAAGAAAGATGAGGCCAAGAAGAAGAAGAAGAAGAAGAAGGACAAAAAGGACAAAAAGGATAAGGGAAAGGATGATGGCGATGACTAGGGCTCAGGTGCTACGAGTAAAGAATCAAATACAGAGCTACCAACAAACTCCCGTCCCAATTACTGAGCCAGATCCAAGCCAAATGCACACTATCTATAGTATGGGAGCCTCTTTGCACCTGATTTTTGCATAGACGTTGTACAGTAGCCAAGTCTTTATTAGGCAGAGCTTGGCTCCACACATTATGCAAACAAATCCTACTCGGCTCATTTGGCCCCTCAAATGTTTTGCAGTAAACTCTAGAAACTGGTTGGACCAAATTCAAACAGAAATGATTAGAAGAGATGTTCTGTGATTGTGCTGCCCCTTTGTATAATGCCACACCCAGAGAGGTGTCATATTTGTATTGAGAGCACTATAACCTGTTGACGTTGGCATCTCGGTCTTTATGCAGCCCCCACCTTTTGCACTCGCAAAAGTACAATGTAAAAATAATTAAACAGATGCTTTTGTCTTGAACATTTCGGAGGCCTTGTAGAAATTCAGAAAAGTGGTCTTTTTTATATAAACAAGAAAAAATGAAAAAAGTACCAAGTGCATCACAAGATTAGCACCTTTGATTCAAATAAGAGGAACAGTACAGGACCACGATTCAACCAGCTCTGTTTCAGTGTAACATAGCACATCGCAGGTTAGGTCAGGGTTGCACCAACTATGAGCACGTTTGTTCCCAGGTTAGAAGGCAGTGGCTTCACTTGAGGATAGTGAGATACAACTTTGAACAATAGTTACGGTAATATACATCTATAGTTAGATAATAACCAATTTACACTGTGCTAATTGATTCAAACCACAATTTGTATGAAAGAAGTTGTGGGAATTATACAATAGAATTATGATTGGACCAATTACAACTGCATTTTCAAGGACTAAACTAGCGTACATGTTGAGCCCCTTCATCCTCATCATCATCATCATGTACGTCTCAGCTAACCAGCGTTACAAAACACCAAAACGTGTGAAAAAGGGCATTATTAATTCAAAATTATAACAATTCCCATGAAAAGGTTAGCAATTAGATTAAGTATATGTAATTTGTATAAAACTTCAAAAATCACATTTGTGGTTCAATAAGTTTAAATATACAACAAACACATGTACCCTAAAAAAAAGTTTTAAAAAAAATGCACACAAAAAAATCTGCTTTATGGTTAGTGATTGCAATTCTGTGACTGTATCATTTGCACTTGCTTTTGCTTGCTTAGATATTTCGTTGTTGCTTAAGGTTGCGTTCGTGTTGCTACGCTTGTGCTTTAGCAACACGTGACTGGATTACAGTACGTTGAAGTTGGAACGGTTTTTGAAGTTTTGCTTAGGGAACTTAAACATGCAGCTGATGCAACCGACCCGTGCCCTTTGTCTCCCAAAGCCGAGTCGAGGAGGGCATGGGGTCTCGATCAGCACACACAAACATGAACACCCGCCTACACCCACTACAACCAAACAACACCACCAGAAAGATCAAGGCTTGGAACCATCCTTACTACAGGAGTAAACAAAATGGCTGAACTTGACTTTTTTTCTGTTGGAGCCTGATTCCTCTGTACTTCTGTCTCTGAATGTTATAGTTGTTCTTCGAGTTCCTGCGACATCTGCATCGACTGCTTCAGCGCTTGTAGAATCTCCCCGTTTATTCACATCAACACAGTTTGTGAGAGACGTACAATATACAAAACAAAGCGTCACTCTTGACAATGAGCCGTTTGTCACTTTACACAAACGCATACGACAGTTGTGGCATCTCTATGGGTGATATTGTGAGGACAAGTGACAGGTTAGCAAAGCTTTGGTGGATGAAAAGAGACAAGAGAGAGTGGTAAGATATTTCTTTCCCGATAAAGCAAAGTCTTGAGAGAGATTTCTGATTTTTGAAAGGAGAACCACCTTGCAAGCCGGATAATGTTGTCTATGTAGTAGAAAACTGTTCGACTATTGCAATAGTCACCACAGAACGGAGTGTATGTTTTGTAATAGGGACTGGCATGGTAGGCAAAGTGTCAAACCTTCTATCCTTTCAGTGTTCCTTGCTTTCTTGGTGCCATTAAAGTCAGCAGTTACAACAGTCCCTGTGCTATCACATCACCAAGTGGCTGTTTGCATGTTCTTAAAGCAAAGGAAACCGAATACTATATAGATAATAAATATATATATATAGACATATGTTCTTTCTTTTTCAACTGGGGGATGCGTATCGGAAAGACATATACTTCTGATAACAATTATGAATAGCAACACATGACCATTGTACAAACTGATCCATGCATACACATTAGCCGTATAAATTGTGGAACAAAACTGAAAATAATGGCATTTTCTCTCTTGTTGAAAATAAAACTTCTAAATACAGTACATAAAGATATTGTGTTATGCTATGAAATGACCTTTGCTTTTGTTTTATGATTTTGAACAACCCTAATTCCACTGACCTTGTGTTACGCTTTGAAATGATTGAAATATTGTGAAATCAACTCACATACTTGTCCCCCATTTGTTTCCCTTTCCCAGTAGATTATGTAAGGTACAAAAGAAGAAAAAAATCTAAATGTATAAAATGGTATAAAAAAAACAAAAAAAAAGCTGTATGTGTATTCTCTGCTTGTGTATAGTGAATGTCCCTTGGTCAGTGGGTGTGTCTGTGAGTGACACATTCGACAGTGACAGAACTGAACATCTTCTTTTGTACACCTGCTCATCATTGTAAAGGTGATAATAGTGCTTCTTTTGATTTACTCAAACTGGTAATGTGTTTTGTTAATAAATCACAAATAAAGTTTTTTTTTCTTAAATATCTCACAATGGCTGATGTCTGTGTGTTCAATGAAAGCAATACATGTATGTCGTCATCATATCTAAAGGGTCATATCTACGTCAGTAATTACAGACAAGAAAATTGCCTTAAAGAAATGACATTCTGTTGGTATTATTATTATTATTATTATTATCACGCTTCAAAATGTTACTTGCACTGAGTTCCAAAGGAGGTAATTATCTCCTGTTTCAGCTACAATAGGTGTTCGCTTACATTGACTTTGTGTAATTATAGCTATATTCAAAATAGACAACCCGAAACTAACAAGACCAGTAAAATATATATTTTTGAACAAAAGAGAATTCATCAACAGTCTAAAAGAGGGAAACAACGGTTATTGCAAGAACAAGGTTGGTTTGCAGTAGGGCTGAGGCTCATGTCTTGACATAATAGTCACATAATCCTTGTCATTTGCTTCATTCAGACAATGACTTCATGGAGGCTCCCGCGTGTGTTGTCTGGTAAAGCGTCCGCTTGGACCCGAGCCACAGGCTCCGTCTGTCTGTGGCCCTCTGAGCTCATCCAGTCTCTGCAGCAGCAGGAGCTCCTCACACCCATTCATCTGCAGATGTGCATCTCTGCAACAGCAGCGCCATCTGCTGCTGAAAACACAGCAGGAAGACCTGCTGTGGTAAACCTTTTATAATTCTGTAGGCCAGCTATTTCAAAGTAACTTTTAACATATTAATGGTTATTTGAAAAAAATGTTAGTGATTACTATGTATTCCATTGTTAATTAAATGTACATTCAATTGATAGTCCACATATATTTGACCTTGTTGTTTATTGTATAAGTAGATTTTAACTGAATTTTTTTACTGGTGTGTTGATTTGTATCCTGGCATTAATGGCACTTTGCAATTTTATGGGACATTATTGTGTTGAAATTGTGTAGACGAGAGAGTATTGTCCTGATGTTGAGAGGGTCCTGCATGTTTGTGTCCAACAGCACTTTGAGCCTGACTGACTCAAACTAAAACTTTCATACCTCAAATGTATGGTATGTAGACTGTAAAACAAAACACTATTATGACAGTAACATGCAAGGTTGGTGAAATGTACTGGCTTTGTTAGTTTCCCCAGGACCTTAAGAATATTGCTCAAAAACAAGGCTATCAAGTCAAAAGCCACCATGGGATTTATTAACGTCTCTACCGAACCTTTATAGAAGCATTATAATTGTTGTTATCAAGTATTAAGGCCGAGTAAGCATTTCTCTTTAAGCCTTATGTAATCACCTTGAGACACTATGCGATCCTCTATTCACAAAGTGATTTTCATGTTCCCCATGGGCCACAGTGATGGAATATAGAGCAATATACTGAGCACCGCACACTCAGCAGTGCAGCCATTACAGTCAAATAGAACAACTATTAAATATGATTCATTACTCATATACTATACAATATGCAGTAAAACACCAGGCTCCCCGATGCACAAACAATAAAAATGTGGCTAAAAATCTAACTTTCTTTTGTTCACTCCACACAGCTTTTTCTTCTATAGCCCCATTTTCTAATCTGGGGTAACGAAATAAAGAGGTTAATTAGTCTTTAAGCCACAAGACTTTGAATCAGTGCCAGATGAAAATATGATGAGGCCCTGAAGTAGAATGAGTGACCACCTCTTACCAGGGATACACGCTATTAAAGCATTGTACTCTTTATGAGGTGTTGCTACAGACCCTCACTGGCAACACCAATGAAAAAGTATTGATTTCCAAGGATCAGTGTTGACTGCTGAAGAACGAACCCAGGAGAGTAATACAGACCTGTTTACGCACTCAGCACTCAATGTTGGCTTGAGACGACCAGAGAGGACTTCACTATAAGAGCAAGTTTATATTCAAGAATTTTAGTTTTTTAAAGTGCATTTGTGTTGAATCTTAATTATTTGTTATTATTTGCAAAGAACTTCCCATGAGGAGATAAGCAGAGGAAGATAAGATAATATTAGATAAGACAGACTTGACTGATCTCACAATGGAGAAATGTACATGTCAATTCGGCACAAATGTATTCTTGTATAGCCCTAAATCACAACAGTAGTTATCTCAGAGGACTTAACAAAACCGTAGAATTCGCCAACACAGATCAGAGAATCAAAAAGTTCAAACACAAAATAGTAACACATAAATAGGATCACTCAGGTTGTGCAAAAGACAGGAATATTGCAAACAGGAAATGTGCAAACTAAAAGGAGAAAGATGGTATCTTTTGTGCAAGATATGTACTACATTACAAGTGACTATAGCAGTGCGAGGTACGTGGTATCTGCGAAGTAGACAGTGGAGGTCTAAGTGACACAAATACATATTGGATGCATAACAAGACTTAAATAAATAATTAGTTTTAAGTAAAAAGGGGAACCAGGCATTATTTCAATAAGGGATATCAGCAACAGATCTGATGTCCATGATCTATAATGCATAAAGATGTTGCACCAACGTTTCAACTAAATGAAATGGCTGTCTGCAACTTTAATTCTCAAGAGACTCATGAACGCATTTCCCATGTCCTACATTCAGCTTCTGATGTAAAATGTATTGCAACTTACATAGTCACCCAAAACAAAAAATATATAGTATATAAAATCGTTCTCCTGGCTGGATTGACATGACTGCCATAAGGAACTGTACTAGATGGAAGCCCCCTCACTCACTGTCTCACCACCAGTGGGCTTTATAGAGTAGAGTTTTATAGATTTGGAACTGTCCACAGCTTACACAGCACTGAGGAGGTCAAGGTTCAGTTGTGGAGCGGAAAAGTGGTGGACTTTAGAAGAGTCTCAATGTATTGATTTGTTCAGAATCATCAAATACAGTATTTAGTATTAGCTGTTGTTGACCTGCTCTGGTGTGAGTATTTTTGGGGTTTTTTTCTTTATAGAAAAACAATCACAAAAGGCTTTGATAATTATTTAGTTATCTCGATTAACTGATTATTGTAATATACAATTATAAAAACGTATAATACTGTTACTGTTTTGTTTCACAGAAAAACAAATCACTGCAGAATCCAACTTCTGCACTGACAGCGTGGAGTCCTGTACAGTGTTGTTGTCGCATTTAAAAAACAGTGACGCCATACAATAGACGCTTGCTATAAATAAATCCATGAGAGTAGGTGCAAATAAAACTTGTCCTGTTTTATTTAGCATTTTTTGCTGAATAAAACAGGACAAAAAAATGACAGCATTACGACAAAAGCAAGAATTTAGCAAGTCCGGAAGCAAGGTCTAAAAACTGTGTGGCTCCAATCGGAATCCGGGAAATATGAAAAAAAAAGAATATGATCTAAATAAATAGAAGTCAAGAAATAATGAGTAACTTCAGCAGTAAATTACTAAATCAATTTAAGTATATCGAATTAGAAAGTCCGAGGCACAACTGAATTTATTTACTTGGGACATGACGCGTTTCGACCACTTAGGTCTTCATCAGGGCAGACCAAAGTATATCCAAAGCATATTAACTATATCCAAAGTATATTAAGTACTGTACATCCAAATTAGATAATAGACAAAATATGTATAGAAATTCCAAAATCCAAAAGATTCAAATTTCAATCAAATAATAATACAAAGACATAAATACAAAAACAAGCAAAACTGTGCTTAGGCTTCCACAGTAGTGATTTGAGTTTTTTCTTGTTCACATAACAACAACAATAATAATAATGCTGCATCGGTTTTATTTGGATTTTTTGGACACTCAAAAAACGCTTTACATGTCATTATTCATTCACTCCATACACGGTGGTGATAAACTAATACTGTAGCCACACCTGCCCTGGGGCACACTGACAGAAGCGAGGCAACCAGTACAGTATGTGGCATCATTTCTAAAGTCTAATGCTTACAAATAGAAAAAAAAGAACGCAGAGAATTGTGTAAAGATGCGAAACAACACTTCTTTAACTTAAACAAAAATTCTCAGACACTCCCTATAACACTGATGCAACTCACTTCCTCTGCCTGCCTCTCGCTCCGGAGCTCTCCTCTCCTCCCTGCTGTACACCAGGATGCACGGTCGCTGGAAGGGAAGACAGGAACACGAGGGGAAGAGAGAGAGAGAGAGAGCACCAGAGAGAGAGAGAGAGAAAGAGAGAGAGAGACGTCAGAGGAGGCAAAGATGCAAGACATAGTGGGACAGGCAGCACACTGTAGCACACTGCTCTGTTGTTGTCAGTGAGGAGAGGGCATGAGGGAGCCAAACAAGGACAGAGGTAATACAGTACCCACATAGCATCTCCTGGATCGATATCTGGATCTATCGGTTCGGCATCACAGCTCTGGAAAACAGGAGGAGCGTTGCTTTAGCAGAGTCGACAGCCTTGGGCACCCCTGGAGTTACACCAAGCTGCTGAGGTATGAAATTAAAAGACAATTTCTCATCACTTCGAGGGTACTTAAGGGGAAAGTGGAAGTGAGTGTTCAACCAAAGGACAGGTCAGATTTGCAGCTGCATCGGTTGCTAACAATTGGATCCAGGCGCTCAAAAAGGCGCTTTCTAAAGTAAGTGTGTGTGTTTGTGAAGACTGAAGGGGAATTTTAATTGCTTGGGGTAGTTGTCACTTTGGATTACACAGAGACTAATGACAAAGGTCGCTCGGTTAAGTAAAATAAGCTCTAAAGTGACTTATTTTCGTCTTGGTGGTTTTGAGATAAATAGAAGGAAAGAGGAGACGGAATTGTCAAGAGGTGTTTGCGTGAATGTGGTCATTAGTATACAGCGATGACAATCCACGTCCTATCTCCCAACAGGATATTTTTTATAATGGTCGCCCAAATCTGAACACTAACCCACTTTTTTCCTGTATCCAAAACACTCGTACAATCGTGAACTGTCACTTCAAGGCTTATACCACACCTACGCAAGCACAAACTGTAAGCTCTTTGTAAGTGAAATGCACACAAAGCAAAGAACTATATGCACCGGCGTGTGCATTATGGCCTGTGTCCAAGGTGAGATGAATGCAGAGGACAGCACCTACAGCCTGTGAAGCATTAACTGGTGGAGGGGAGGGGGGGAAGAGTTCACTGCAGGAGTTTTGATTTGTCACTTCTGAGCACTCAAATAAATTATTCTCTGTGCTGTCACACGTAGGAGCGAGAATCACGCACAATGTTTGAAATGCTAATACAATATAGAGCAGTTGTTTTGGCAACACATCACCATCTTGTTAGGCACATTAATGGACTGGCGTTCGAGAAGTGTCAGACAGAGCTGAGCAAGTTTGAAGACCTACAGTAACAGTGCATACATTTTAAATAGTGCAGCCAACGATTGGACAGGTGCAATGATCTGCAGCATGGAGGCCCCTTTGTATCTTGTTTTGGACGAGTGCTGCCTGCTAATGGACTCATCTGGAAAAAACAGCAAAAGAAAAAGAATTTGGAGAAATATCGATAATAACACTTTTTGCAACACGGAAAAATGCATTATAAAAAATACTTTACATTTTAGAAGATATTAAAGCTGGGATACCTAACTTTTTTTGTTTCATGAATAATGCATTGCATGTTGGCCCGCACCGAAAGCGTGATGTGAAAATATAAATCTGACCACAACATCCTGTCTGCATTTTTAAAGAAAATAAATAATCTTGTGCATACTTGTAGGAAAGAGCACTGTGAGCCACTATTTGTCACTTTGGGCTGACAGCTCTATTTCACTTTTCAATTGGATAAAGATGTGACAGAGCCACTTTTCAATTGGTTAAAATTTGACAGAGGCAGAACAATAAATGAGTCTATATACAGTAACATTTTGGATTCACATTTTAAGTGGAATTTTTGAACATACTGTATATAGTAGTAATTTTTATTCATATAGCTCATCTTTACAGACCAAGGTCACCCAAACCACTCTACAACGTTCAGAGTTCAGATATTGTTCCATTCTCTCCACCCGGTGATGACTCAAGCGAGACAACGATCAGGATTTGAACCAGGACTCTTCTTTTCTCGTGTGTAGGAACTAGCTAGATGGATTTTATAACATATTTGCTTGTTGTGGTTTGAAAATGTAGATACCCCAGCTTTAATCCTGTGGCATATTATTAATCTTTCATGGTCTCTATACTTACCTGTATGTCCCTTTTTCATAGATGGATGTCCAATGACCTGGAAACCCTGTGATTCCCTGGAATAGCCTGACGTGGTGAGATGGGCAGACGTGCGGCCGACTTGACCACCCCCGTTTCGGTGCTGGGCGTCCCGGCTCTGGTCGGTGTGCGCGGCTGGAAGAGCACGGGGGGTGACAGGAGTGACATTCAGTATAGTGTGGGTGTTCAAACATCTCCAGGCTTTCACAGAGGACCGACCACACACTGTGCAAAGTTACCAGACTCTCGTTTCTCCGTGTCTTCAGAGACATCCAACGGCTATTTCAGCGTTGAATCGGACTACAAGGAGACATCATCACTGCTGACAAAAAGTGACAAGGATATAAGGGCTATTCTAAAGCAGAAAAGTGGTAAGCCCAAGACAAAAAAAGAAGTGACTTTCAAAGCAGCTGAACTCTCCAAGGATGTGGCCTCGAGTTGGAGGAGTCGAACTTATTGCTATGCCAGAGCAATCAAGACCAACCCGCAATTGGCCAGGAATCCCGCCAACGTCAGGCCTAAATTAAAATCTATTAGTCGCTATGTTAATGGCAGCGTGGTTGACTCGGAGGCGATTGGCGGAATTAGCATTGATAATGGCGAATCAGAGCCTGTCTCTGGTGGAATGGACCTAAACAGACAAGGTCATTATGCAGAGCAGCCTGGGATAACGGCCGCGTTATCTGCAGCCCGACCTTTTACATACAATATATATAGCCAAGTGCAACAGCCTGAGGACACAATGACTCAGGTTTGCTCACGGAAAACTTTAAACAACATAACGAATTTGAAAGAGCCTATCGCAAAACCACATGCAATGAATTCTAATGAATCAAGAAAGTATATACTGCACCCAGCATGTCCAGTGCATTCTCTTAACAAAAGCCATCACACCAACGTAAGCTCACGACAACCTAATGCCAGTCCTTCAACAACTATTCGAAAATCAAATTCAGTCACTATTACTAAAGCTACTATTGAAACGAAGCGATGTGCCACAATTCCAAGACCAACAACTCTTCCCTTAACCCCCCTCATGGCGACAGCAACAAAGAACCACGACCCACAAGCAAAATCTTTTCTTATGCAGTTCAAAGCTTCGCAACAACATCTCGCAAACCATCATGCCACATCTGAGACCACTACTTTGAAAAAACATGTACAGTTAGATACTAGTGTTTTGAATGGTTTTGAGAATGACAAAAGTGTTCATTCAAAAACAAGCAATAACATCGATAGCCCCAAAATGGAGAATGAATCAAGCAATGAGTCAAAGAAACATTTGATGGAAAGCAGCATGACAGAAGAAACCAAAGCAATAGACCCAAGTGACTGGTCTTCCAAAGAAGCCTCATCTCAGAACTCAGAGAGCACAGCACAAGAAATTACAAGTTCAAAAGTTCTCACCCAGTCTTCGGATCTAACCTCTCCTGACAGTGGTCTAAATTCTGAGGCAAAGTTATCATGCCCCACTGCACTTAGTAACACACTATGTACTGATGCAAGCACCAAATACTTTTGTACTACCACTCACTCCGAACCTCAATTGTCAGCACTGGTCAAAACTTCTGAAACTTCTGCTGGACACGCCACCAGTATGAGCAACACTGTGGCAAGCCTGGGTCAGCGCTCGCCCCAAAATACCTCTCAAATTGAACCGTCCAAAATCCAGCATCCAATTTGCACATACGTATCTGTGAAACAAAATCATACAATTGAATGTTATGTGAAACACGAGAAAAAGGACAGTCTGCCACCTCCAGATTCTTCAAAAGACGTGCACAGAGATGATGAGGCAGAGCAATCTAGTCACAAAACAATCACATTATCAATATTGGAAACCGCAGCAGATGACGGCCAATGTAATGGTAATTTAGTTCATGAATCTATAACGAGGGAGAAGGGAGAACGCTCAGGCAGCTCGCAGGTCAGTAACCTTCAGAAGTACATTTCCCTAATTAAATCAAACAGCTCTTATCCGCGGGGTCGTATCAACACTACACAAAGACCTCAACGTCGTCAAGAACACGCAGGACTAGAAGGACAAAGCACGACAGGCCCGCCGGTATCAGACGCACAGAGAGATCCAAAAACTCAACACGTTACCTCAGGCGTAGCTAAGGTAGAAAATGGTATTAATTTTGAATCTGGCACAGAAGATGACACACAAAGTTCAGCTGTTGAGAAAAACATCAAAACAGTGAAAACAAGTTATAGAAACAGCTTGATATCTCATTCGCTTCCACAATTATGCACTTCTCCATCCCAGGCTTCATTCCAAAGCACAGAGCGGTCACACACAGACCTCAAATGCACTTCTATATTGTCATCGCCAACAATACCCCTGGCATCTGTCCCCCGCCTCCAACCCAACCCGGCGGAGGAGATAGCAGCGGAGGATTCACGGTTTATATTCGCTCCTCCTCCTCCTCCAGAGTCACTGCCGCTCCAGCAGGGATCTGAAGAGGGGGGTCTGGGGTGCGGGCAGTCGCCGGGTTCCCCCCACAGCGGTAGATCAGAGGCCCTGCAGCAGAGACTGGAGAGTGTGGAGGCCAGCCTGGCAGCCAACACAGACCGGATTACCACTCTGCTCAACATCATCCATGACCTGGAGACGAGCAACGCGCCCACCTCCGGGTACGAGCATGTCTGTGTGAGTGAGAGAGCAGCGATGGAAATACTCTGAACATATGAAAGTGTGCTGTCTGTGGGTATGGCTGCAAATCAAAATCTGTCCGAGAAAACTTTTTACAATCTGAGAGAGATACAGTTTACACACCCTCTGCACAAATCTCAATAATTTGGCCATATTTATGATTTCATTTTAATTTAATTTTTTGGCCTGGGTGAGTACATGTCAAAGAACATATGGTTGAACATTTTGTAGACACGCCAGATTATGTCATAATTTGAACATTTTCTATTTGACGTTATAAAGTTTTAGGGATGAAAAAGACTGTTTCTTTAAAGCTGCATAAACTCCATAATATGGCCAAAGCAATGAATTCTCTGGCTGCTTGTGTAAACTTGTACAAAACTGTATATTGAGTTATGCATTTGGTTCTGAAGTCTACAAAAATATGCAAGAAAAGTATGATTATATTAGGATCCATGAGAAAGTATAAGGCTTGGCTCCTCAAGCAAATACAATTTCAAGTTAGGATGTCCAACTCATGTTGATTTTAGTGAATTAAATTACGTACCACAGCTTAAACAATAACATTTAAATTGATATAGGATAAATAAGAAACAAAATATATAGAAAAAAAATCAATCACGTCAGAACTATGAAAATTGTGTTACAAGTAAAGGTTTTGTGTACCTTTACTTGTCTTGTTTGTTGATAATAAAAGGGATTCATGATTATATGTGACTGCAGGTACTGTACAGTGGTCCAGCTTAATTGTGACTTCTTGTAGAGTTGGATTTATGTGACAACAATTTACAACCTCAACTGAACAACTGCACATGAAATATGTGGTCCAGTGGAGGTCTACAAGCAGAGCAGGGACACCAGTCACAATCACAACCCTTGATATTTGTGGTACATTTTACAATTTCGCCATGACCAATATTACATTTTATAATTAGGCCAAAAATATATATTGGCCTAATTTATATTGTGGAATTCCAACTAGGGTTTCAAACACAATCTAAAGACACAATTAAAAATATGCTTGATGTGAGACCGTAAAAGACTTGAGGGACATTTGCCCTTTGAATATTATGAATATGTATTTTTAAATGTTGCTAAAGCAGTTCTAGGGACGGACACGACTTAAAATGTTGCAGTGTTTCACATGTTCATTGCGCACAATTAAAATATTAATTACACTAATGCAAAATAATATAATCATAATAATTGTGGATAAATAAAACTCACAAGATAGATCTTTGTGTTTCGCCCCTTGTATTATCCTTTATTTTTCTTGTTCAACTAAATCTACACAGAAACACAATCATTCACAATGTCTATAAAATCCAGTTAATTCGTTTACGAGAACGGCTTGAGACGCTGCTCTGCTGTTCTCAAAGTGACCTCATTCCTCGCATAATAAATGTGCCGTCCAAGTATACAACACAAAGCCAAAATGTCTCTGGCTACTTTACCATATACTCCAAAAACATATTTATCACTGAAGCTGAGAGGTCTAGTTTGCAACGAAATCAGATCTTACAAGAAGCCAGGGAGTGTGGGCTTGGGTGCTTGCGGAGAGGCCATGCAGGACACTGATTTATTTAGCTGTAAAAGTCTTGTGAGACAAATAACAGGAATTAACACGGCCTTCTGGCAATGTCTCTGTGTCAATCAAGCTCACTGCACTTGGCTTAATCAGATGTGATGTCGGAGCAGCGGTTTCAGAATAACCAGCTCCTAATAAGCCACTGATGCCCTTATTTAATGCAAGCTCTCATTACTGCCATGCAAGAGTCATTTACGGACAGTGAAGACGATGAGAAAGGGGGAGAAGCCATTTTGAAAGATCGTTTGGGCTGATAGATCTTTTTTCTTTCTCATGCTTTATTTCAGCCAAGCCAGCAACAAAACTGGACAGGATCTGAACAATTGCAAGATCTGCCAGAAAACGGCATGCATTGTGTACAGGTATGGAAACAGCTTCAATTCTTACAGTCTCGTTGCATTTAAATTGTCTATGAATGGTGAAACTGGCACAAAACTGGCAGGTGTTTTATCATAGAAAATTGTCTTTTTATTTACAACTTTACAACAAGCAACAACACGACTGAAGTATGTGATTTCTTTGTTGTAATAGTTGGTTCACAGTCCTTCAAGTGAATAAAATGACCATGTCTGCTTTGACCTAATGTGCAGGAGACACTTCAGGACTGGACCCTTTGCCAAGTTGCTAAAGCAGTTCTTGTGTGAATCAATGACTTTGTAGAATGGGCATCATCCCAAAAGCTCAGAAGTTTTCATTTGTTTCTTGCTGAGAATACATAGGACAATTACACTTCCCTCTGAAGAGTAAATCCTCTATTAAACAAATAATAAAATATGACGGTTAATGTGAAACATAAATATAGAAGAATAGATAGGACTTCAATATCAAAAGACAGATTTTTGACACAAGATGCAGAAAATGCATGCTTGCATACATGCATGTCTTATTCACTATATATTTTTCACTTATATAAACTGACCTACTTTTGTTGAATATGCAGCATATGAAACCCGCAGCTAACTTTGCACCCATGAGCTTAGACATTGCATCATGTGACAGCAGCACAATGAAACTCCCGACAATTGAGCCACAAATTAGGCTAAGGATGGCTGAGGAATCAAAACAACTCATCATTTGGGATAAAATCTACCTGCACTCAACAAAGCACAAAACTTGTGGAGAAGTCCTTTCAAAAGTTCTGTTTTATGTCATCTTCTTCTACGGTAGACGATAAGATGTACCATTTTCAAAAAGTATCTTTGCATGACAAAAAGATGTTGCATAACGTGCCACACCATGGGGCTCAGTCCTGAAAAGGCCTCAGACAAGATAAGGACATCAAGGCAAGGCAAGTTTATTTGCGTAGCACAATTCAAACACGAGACAACTCAAAGTGCTGAACAAAACAAGATAGAAACAAGCACACAAGGCATTCTAATCATAAATAATCACAGTACGTTGAAAAGAAAGTCCCTCAGTTGTATGCACAGCTAAACAAAATTGTTTTTAACCTGGATTCAAACATTCTCAGAGAAGAGGTCTGTGTCATATTTTCAGGAAGATTGTTCACTGAAAGCTTCTTCACAAAACACTGCAACAGGTAAGGCTGGTAACACTTTATAATTCTGACAGGAAAGTAACAAATGCAACTACATACACTTATGATAGAGCCGTGTGCAATGTTTTTAAGTTCATTTGCATTTAAGGGGAGCTGAATTTTACAAGCTGTTCGTGATTTGACATTTGGTTTTGAATTAAAGTGTGTATGTGTGTCTGTCCAGTGTGGAGTATGACTTCAGGCAACAGGAAAGACGCTTCATGGAGGTTCTGAATCATGCAGCGACCGGAAAGAATGCCTTCTCCACGCATTCGCCTCAGACTGTCAACTTCAGTCTCCTCAGAAACGGCATCATTAAGAACCTGAGTGTATCAAAGGTGAAACGCAAAAAGCTGTGCAAAACACTTTTCAAATGGCTGCCCAGGAAAAAGCAAGTCTGAGCCTCACACCAAATATCCTGTAATGTAACGGTGCATCACAAAATAATGTATTTTAATGTGAAGATTATGCATATGATCACTTTCCCCAATGCAATAATACACTCATTCCCAAATCCGTATTAAATCCCCTCATACAGACCAGCTTTCCTCTCCACAAGCGTCACCTGTCATACATTCACCTTGGAGAACCTTATGAAGCGAGTTTAACCATGTTTTTCCAACTCTGAAAACGTAAACATCGAGCTTGCTTTGCTTATTGTAAATTATCGTCTAAAACAGCCATGTCAAACTGAGGCCCATGGTCCAAATCCGGCCCGCAAGACCATTTTTAGTGATCCCGGAAAGGATTTGCAATTCTCACTGTTACAGTCCCTTGCAGCATTGATGGCAAAGGAATACTATGGCATGTTATACTTAATTTTAAAGCTTATTTTCTCAGGAAAGCAACCAAATAATTACATTTGTTCTAAAATGTAAATTAACACGTAATTAGAAGCTATGTTAGGCCCAGATTGATTTATTTATTTTTCATCAAAAAAGCTGTGGCCCATTTGTGGTTGAATCCAAACCTACAAGAAAATAATCACAAATATCACAAAGATATGTAAGAATAAATAAAACAAAGATAATAAAAGTACTTTTGGCCCCAACTAGCTCTTATGATTTAAACGTGGCCCCCGACCAAAATTAGTTTGACCTCCCTGGTGCAAAAAAACCTTTTGCATGTGGCAACTATTCTTTTTTGATAAATATACATTCGAGAGGCAAGTTCAGGTGTTGAAATAAACAAACCGATTTCCAATTTATGTAAGTCATATCCATGGTTTCTATGATGATTGTTTGGGTATAGCTATTCCAGAAATTGTAACAACAAATTTTTTTGAGATGCACCCAGCCTCTGTAAATCTTCTACATTTTGTACTGAACTTCAAAGTGTTGTCTATGGCTATGTACATTTACACTTGTGTGCACTTTATACATTTCAAATCCTTCAAGCCTGTCTAACTAATCGTGCATCCTCTGAAAATGCTTTTGGAATTTTGGAAATGCAAAATAAACTGAATTGACTCACTGTGATTTCTCGTCAAATACCTTCTTTTGCGTCGCAGCATGGTTCCATCCAAGGCCGATAGACTCACAACAGCAGAAATCCTCTGACAAACAGCAATGGAGCTGCGTCCGCATTTTGTCACACACCTGCCAAGGGGAAGGGGGAGAAAAGAAACATTCATTATGCCTTTGTCAATTGTGCCAGTGGTCTCAAAATCCCCAAACAATCTTAAGCCTAAGTGAAGTTCTTGAAAGCTTGAGGGTGAAATAATGACATGACAAAAGGCGACAATGAAGTGCGTTCATATCACGGCATGCAACTGGTATGACACCAAACACAAACGTTTAACCACGGAAGAAAGAACAAAACGACTGCCAGGGTTCACTTGATTTATACATATCCACTTATAAAGTCATTTTCTGATCAGAACTTTTCATAAGCAATTGCTCTGCCTGGAAGATGCAGTATTCATTTTCTTAATTTAGAGTGTATTTATTATTATAAAGACCAATTCTTTTTTTTCTTTGTTATCAATTATTTATTCATTTCAAAATGTTAATTGACATAAACCCACCTAGACACACAAACGCAAAAAATATGAAAATCTGCACCAAAGAAAAGAGAAATGTCACTAAGCACCAGTTGCGAGCATGTTCCTCTCTTTTTTCGCTTTGCCAGGCGCCAGTTTACAGAAGCAGATGGCGGTAAACTCACTGGTTTTGCTTTGTACTCACCGGTCCGCCATGGTTAGCAGGCGGCTCAGGAGGCCCACCTGATCCAGGCGCCTCTCCAAACTCTCCTTCTTCTGCGTACGCAGTGCCAGGTTATTTGGCCAAAGCTATACATCCATGGATGTATTATATTGTATAAACCCAAGTTGTGCGCATGATTACACGTGATTCAAAATGGAGAATATTTTTAAAAGAGGAAATGTCTAAAATAGTTGTTAACAATGTGACAAGAAGCCCAGAAAGGTTGTTATTATGTACAGTATATGTATATTTTCTGTTTAGGTAACGCCCATGGGAGGGGCATGTTGTTGTGAGGGGCTGTTTGCAGTGAGGGCAACATCACCTTGACTAGAATATGGACTGATGCAAATATGCTATTTACAAAAATGTGAATATGTACTGTACATATTCTAGTCGGGGTAACAAGCATGCCAGGGTAGGCTGAGGTTTCCCTTTTATTCCTGCAGTGAATAAGTGCAAACACAAATGAACCGTCAATTCAGATTATGAATTGCAGAGGGGCGGTTTGGCCAAAGATGCACTCGGTTTGGCTGTTTTATGGAGAGGACAGGGCGAGGACATACGTGGCGGATTGGTGAGTAACGTGAAACCAGTGAGTTTTACTGCAATCTACTTCTGTAAACTTTGCGCAGGAGTGCAAGCCTGGCACAGTGGAGAGTGAGAGGAGTGCACCTGCAAATAGCGGTCCATTCAACTGACGCCTAATACATAAATAAGTGTTTTAGTTACGATTCATGAGTCTTGCTCAGATGCAATTCATTTACATTACAATGTTTATGACTAAGGAGGTTAAAATCCATGCTCATATTCATATTGTGCATTTTCAGTACATCTTCTGAAAGAAAATCATTCAAGGATATAACAAGTGCCAACTGCTTCAGTTACGATAGCATATAAGTGTGTGATTACTTGTGTTCTGTATGAAAACTTTGTGCTATCTGTTTAATTGATTACACAGTATTTCACTTGTATAATCATAAAAAACTACATTTGAATCATCTGAACTATACTGCCAGAGGCACATAGTGGGTGAGAATTAACGGCTTGTTTCAAGTCAGTAGCAGCATAATGAGCCCTAATCGCCTGCTGTAGTCACAGCACAAACCATTCAACTCTTCAGTTTCTCCAATTAAATTAAAAGTCAAGTTTGTTTGGGTCTGCAAAGAAAACATTTTTTGGTAGATTTATTTTCACTAAGCAGACAAAAACAGAGGACAAAGGAACACATTTACCATACAGGATGAAAGCAAAAGTATGCACACATTTCAAGTTAGCAGACGACCAGCACAGTACCATGAGCCAAGAGCCAACTTCCCCTCCCTTTGCCAGCACAGCTCCTTTTTAAACTGTTAGCCCCACACCTAGACTGACCCATTACTTATTGAATCAATCAATCCTTTATTATCTCAAAGATGGAGAAAATGGTTTTTGAGAAACATGTGAATGATTTACGCACCCTGTAACCCCAGGGGGGAATGGACCCTTTACCCATTACCATATAGAAGGGCAACACAAATAATGAACACACAATGAGTTAGTTCTTGGTCGCCTGATCTGCCGATAGGGCTCGATCATGGGCAATATACGGTGTGACCAGGAAGTGCCTTGCAGTGGAATTTAACCCAGGACCTTCATGCTGTTGGAAACAGTAACCAGTGTGCCACCACGCCACCCCAAACTGGGTGAGTGAGAGAAACAGGCACATGATGGAGCTGTTACTGGCGCTACAGAACTACTCACAGAGTGGCTCCACAAACAAGCTCTGGAGAGAGGGTAAAATGGTGGTAAGTACAAAAAAATGGCAAAAGTCATTGTAATGCTATAAGGCAGCATAAGATTCTATTGGGACTTGAGACACTGCAGGATGATAGTCAGGTGTGGAGCTCAACAGGGCAGTGTAACAAGGGGGAAATGGAATTTCATATTCACAATTCTCCTAGACAAAGTAATTGTTTTAGAATTTGTTTTGGATGTGATATTGTATTGATTGATCTTTATCTAATGAATATGTTATTCAGAGGAGTCCGAGCTCCAGAGAGAGGGGGCAGGAGTGGGGATGGGGTGGATATTATGGAGAACTATGGTACATGGTTCAGTGGTAGAGGAAACTTACACAGACACTGCTAACCACTGTGCCATAAGTTACAAGCAATTAGTTACTATAATTACATTGTTTTTTTTATTTTTTATTGTTTATTTGGTTGGGACAGTACATGTTCATGAGCACATCACTCCGGATTGTAGCCATGGGCTAATTTCCATCCGTTGCCCCACATTCGCACTCACAAAGACACACTCATTCATTCACCCTGAACTATTGCACATGTATTTAGTGGTAGGGGAAACCTACGCAGACACGGGGAGAACATGCAAACTCAAGTATAATGTGTTACTTTACAGCTGCAGTCCAATTTATCTTCATTAGTTACTTACAGAACTATCTAACACAGATTAAACAGGAAAAAGCATGATACAAGAATTTATTTGCCGTTTGCAGTAAAACCACATTGGAAAAACTGCTTCAAGTAACAATGATGCTGCATCATTAACGTCTCAAACCTATTTCTACCCCATTGTTTACTACTATTGCCTTTAATTTATGTATTACAGCAATCTCAGTTATCTAATTATTTCAGTGATTAGCAATATGTAACAAATTGCGTTTTCAAAGTAACTTACCCATCACAATGTCCTCACTATTGCATTGCATTTGTCCAATCACCCCATAAACTGTAGTCGTAAACTACGGCAAAAGGTATTCACAGCTGTTTCACACATTAGATTTTATACTTGCTGAAGTGTCTTTACAATGACAGATTCAACATTTTTAAGCCTAAGCCATAGCACAACTCAAAAATATCATTATGCCTCTCCCTGTATCAGTATGTGTATTGCCAAAAAGTCATCCAAGATATATTCCATCATTGCTGTAGTGGATGCAACCCTAATTCAGGTAGGCTAATGAAAAAACAGCCAGTGCAGCAGCTGTGGAAGTGACAAGACTATGCGGACACTAAGAACTCAGTTGTAAAGTTGTATACAGTTGAATCTTGATTCTTTATCTTCAGAAAGACTTGTACAAAAAGCTTGAAACTGGGATTTCACTGTGGGTATATGTTGCTGTTTTGGCTACTGAATGAGAAAAGATAAAAAACCATCTAAGGGTAAAAATCAATAAGACATTTATTATTCTCCTT